TCTTGTTGGCATTAGTGGTACTCTTGACACAGGCAGCTATTACAGTGTCGTGCGCGTTCATAACAGCGTCCTTCATTCATTGCAGGAATACATGGACACCTGGATATTCGGTCGCGGTGTTCCAAACGAGAGGTGGCGGGAGCATACCATAGTTGAGCAGGAATGGGGGATACCCGGTCGAGCTGGAACAGGCCGAGTTCATAGTGAATTCAATGGCGGGTAGCTTGATAGCCCAGTCCCATTGATGAGGAGACACCAGGGTCCTAAGCATCTGGGTCATTGTCCGGTTAGCTCTTTTGGTAGCTCCATCAGACTGAGGGTGGAAGGATGACGACATGCGAAGCTCTACACCGGTTAGTTGGTGTAGTCTCTGCCACAACGTGCTGGTGAACAGGGTGTCACGATCACTAACAATATTAGAAGGCATTCCATGTAATTTATACACGGAGTGAAACATAACCTCTGCTATGTCCTTCGCGCGGTAAGTCTGTTTTGTAGGGGCGAGGTGAACCATGGAGGTTAAGTGGTCAATTGCTACCAGTATCATGTCGAAGACACCACTTAACGTTTTCAACTTGGGGAGAGGTCCGATGAAATCGATTCCGATGGTCTCCCAGGGACGAGTCGGGACGTTGAGAGTTTCCAGAAGTCCGTAAGGCTGGTGGTTCGACAGCTTTGAGACCTGACACGTGGGACACGAGTTACAGTAGGACTGGACGTCTGCGGCTATAGATTCCCACCAGACGTTTTCTCTGAGGTACGATAGGGTCTTGGAGGGTCCTAAGTGCGCAAGTATGGAATGAGTGTGAGATATCACCAGCTCTCTTATGCGCCTGGTGCCAATGGCAATGTCTGGAATACATAGTATCCGCTTGTCTGAGTCTTTGAGGAATATGCGCCCATTACTCACTTCAAAGTTCTTAAATGCCCCAGGGTTACTTAGAATCTTCTCAAAGAATTGGTCTTCAGAGTACCAGTTTACTATAGAAGCGTGTATGTCAGTAGAAGGATCACCTAACATTATAGTTTTGGTGAGGATCGGGGGTGATTCTAACAAGTTTGAGGTGGAGTTTGTGTCCTCAGTGACGTCACTTGTCACCCGTGTGGGGTTCTGGTCTAGATTTTGTCTTATGACGTCGTTGCCTGCCACTTGATTGCTTATGTCATCACTGGTCACATTATTCTGTAGGTCCTTGTTTGTTCCTACTGGCGCGTCTTTCTCCAGGTGTGTTACCTCCTGCTTAGAGGATTTTGTAGGTGAGTTCATCTGTTCTATTCTTACAGGTACTCTCGTTGCTGTAGATGCGTGACAATGCGTCAGCCAGCTCATTGTCTGCACCAGGAACGTAAGTGATTTCAAAGTCGAATTCGCTGAGTGCCTCTAACCAGCATGCTTGCCTAGGGGACAGCTTGGTCTGGGTGAATATCCACTCCAGGCCCTTGTGATCAGTGTAGATACGAAAACAGAACCCAATCAGTAGGTGCTGGAATCGTTTCAATGACTCCATGATAGCTAATAACTCTTGCTCATGGACAGGGTAGTTCTGCTGCGCAGAATTGAACTTGCCCGACCAGAAGGCTATTACAGCGGCAGAATGTCTGTCTGGGCCTTGGGATATCACGCCGCTGGCTCCCATTAGGGAGGCGTCTGTGGTGAGGTTGACCAGGAGTGACCTGTTTATGGCTGAAGGTAAGTCTATCGCCTTCCTGCTAACGTTACGATGAGTCTCAATGCAAGCCTTAACTAGGTCGAATGCTTGTTGATCAGTCGGGGTCCACGCCCAACGTGTCATCTGGGCAGCTACCTTCGACAGGTGCTGCATGTCAACACGCACGCCAGCACATCCAGATGCTAAGTACCCAACGGAGCCTATGAACTGCATCAGAAGCTCCTTAGAAGTGGGAGTCTTCCAGTTCACGACTTTGTCCACTTTGTGCGGGTCGAGGCGGATTCCTGCGTCGTCGATGACGTGCCCTAGGATGTGCAGTTTGTCTTTGAAGAACTGGAGCTTGTGTTCACCCAGGTAAAAGTTGTTTTCTCTCAGCGTATCAATGACGATTTTAACATGCTTGACGTGATCCTCAGGGCTATCAGAATATATTACGATATCGTCAAGGTAAACGTCCATGAATGTGCCAATATGTGCACCAAAAATGTGATTCATGAGTGACTGGTATGTGGCCCCGGCATTACAATCCCCAATTTGCATGACGTAGCTAATCATGGTACCGTCAGGGGTGGCGAAGAGGCTCTTATGCACATCCTTAGGGACTATGCGAATCTGCTCACAGGCATCTTTGCCGTCTAACAATGATCGGTAAGGGTGCGACGATACGTTACGAAGGATAGTGTCAATGTCAGGTAAAGGTGACACTAACTTTCGAGTGTTCTTGTTACGCTGACGGGTATCTAGGACAGTGCGAAGCTTCAAGGACCCATCCTTTGTGGTCTTCTTCATCATGATCATGGGGACAGCATTTGTGCCACTGAGGAACTCCCATCTACCTGTTTGCACATAGTCGTCACACTTTGCCCTCCAAATAGGACGCAGGGCTTCGGGACACCTGGACTGTTGCCAGGAGTACACCTGGTCTTCGTCAATCAAGGGGATGATGTGGTTGATCGTGCGCAGGGGAGGTAAGGGTGTGTCAATTGCTTCTTTGCAAATATCCTTAGCATACTCAAACAGCTCCTTACGGTATGATTCAATTAGGTCCGATTCGGGGCTGGAACCTTTGAGTTCGAGGACTTGCATTTACGCACCGCGGATAGGTAAGGGTTCTAGACTTCTGATCTTGATTTCTGGTGGATTGAATCCAAGTAGTACTTGGTGTTGAAACAGGAAAGGCATTCCTAGAATAACGTTGTACACCTCAAGATTGGCTATATCAAAGGTGCGCGGTCCAGATACATCTTGGTATACCAGGTTAACAGTAGTGTTAGCTTTCACCACACTACGCGAGCCAGACACAGCTAGTTGAAGGGGGATTGGTTTCTCTAGTAAGTCATATTTCAATTTTAGCTGGTCCACTAGTGTACTTGACACGAAATCTGTTAGTGACCCGGAGTCCAGGAGTGCTCTGCATGGACGGCCCTCAACCTGGACCATTACCACGAGTGCCCTTGGTAGTATCCGTGACAAGCCTTTTGGATGAGCAGCTTGTCGCTGAAGGGCTCGAATATCCGGTAGGTTCATAGAGGTTCCACCACAGAACAGCTTATCAGTGGTGTTATAGGGAGCGCCGTGCACGACAACATCTACGTCCTCTTCGAGTACAACATCCTCAACCTCTTCGGCAGGGGCGATGTCCTCAATCGTCGCGTCGAGTGTGATATCCTCAATCTCTTCATCACAGGTGATTTCTTCAATCATAGCATAGGGTGTGATATCCTCGATCTCTCCTGCAGACATGAATTTCCCGGTCTCCTCTTCATCTGAAGACTCGCAGCTTAGGAGGTCAGGCGGGCCATCTGTTTCATACATGTCTTGACGTACGTCACACGCAACCCCTCCCCAAGTTGGCTGGAAGGATGACTTAGTGCATATTAAGTCTGAGTAGTTGTGAAGTTTTAGCCCAACTAACCATGCGACTATGTCAAATTCAGGATCGCTCAATTGATCATAGTATATGATGTAATCGTCGTAGTTGTGCTTGTCGCTCAGGAGGTAAGTATTTACCCCACCATGAATTGACAGACTAAATCGGTCTTTTCCAAAGGCATCATAGATAGTGTTGTGCAGTTCATCTGTGGGCAATGGCACGGCTGATCGCAGGGTAGTCAGGGCACGGGAGAGTACGTCGAGGTGTTCAGCTCCAGTGGTATCATTGTCTGCCACCATACTAACGGCCATGCCATATAGGCCCTGGGCAACACCTTCCTCGATGGCCACAGCCCTAATACCGGCTTCTGAGATCCCAATGGTGTTAGCTCGGAGGCCAGTGGTTTTGAATCCTGGCTTAAAGGGCAGCTTATGCCTCTTAGGGCAATCCTTCGCTAAGTGGCCTTTCTGTTCACATTCAAAGCACTGATCATTGTCTCGTAGACGTTTGATGGACTCAGGGCTCTTTTTAATATGATTATGGTCACCTCTAGGTCTTGATCCTCTGGAAGGCCCATTCTCACCTCGGTGAGGTCTGTCGACGGAGGCTTGGACCGCGTTAGCCGATAGTGAATGAGTTCGATCACGACGGTTCGGACACTTATGCTCACGTCGGTTCGGGGCATCAGTCCTTTAATTTCGGCTGGCTATGCTTGCAACAGCTGTTGGGTTCAGGGCTAGGAGAGTGTCTGGGTCATGAGAGTTTGCCAAGAACGCTTGTTCGGTGTGGATAGCTCTCTCTTCGAGGGTTTCAAGATCAATAGAGTTAGGTTTGTATCCCTTATCTACTAATGCAGCTCTGAGGTAGGGTTTACAGTGCACCCAGAACTGAAGCACGATGTCGCATTCTCTGATGTCACCAGCAGTGTCTGCGAGATCACGGAGATGTCTGATATAATCTTTCACAGTATGTTTGACCTCTTGTTTGCATTCGAAAAACCTCTGACATTGTTGCATCCTGAAGTCAGGAGGGAATACGTGGTCAAACAACTCTTCGAAGAACTCAGTCATTGAGTATTTCTTTTGAAGGTCTAGAACGTCGCGCTCGTAGAATCAGTACGCTTGGCCACCCAAGTACTTCCCTATCAGGTTCAGAGTTTGACCGGTGGTGAGTCTTGCGCGATCTTTCCAGTTTCTCGTTTCTCTGACCCATTTCTTAAACGTTATAACATTAGCCTCCCCATTGTACACAAATGGGGGCTCATTTTTGATGAAGCCTTGCTGGTATTTCAATAACATGAGTTTGGATCTGTACTTCCGTCTCGCCACACGCTTATGACTTTTAGTATCCGGCGAGTCGCTATCATGATCTGATTCCGGTTCCAACTCGAGGAAATCAGCTCCAAAATCGTTATCAGACCAGTCTGCTTTTGCGGTACTCCCGCTCTTCGGCTTGAGTCAAGGGGGATCCATTAAGGTGGGGATCTTCTTTGAGCTTTTCCTAGCTGGCTTATCATTATCACTTTCAGTAGACAAACGCTCGCTTTCATTGTCAGATGAAGGTGGGTCTGGTTCACCCGGGTCATGTCCTTGTTTGGACACTCCGGTCATTGCTCGTTTGACAGAGCTTTCAGCGGGGAGTAGTGAAGACGCACGCTGATATTGCAGGTTGTTGGTCTGACCACCTTCGATCTTTACAGCCTTTGGGGCTAGCTTGGCTTCTCTGGCCCTGTAAGGAGCGTGATTGCCCTGGGTACTGACTATCGGAGCATGGTGAGCCTCTGCAATCCTTTGGTTGGCGTCACTCTCACATAGCTGACTTAGGCATACTAGTCTTTCGAGGTCTCAGATCCGCTCTTTAAGAGCGTCGATCTCAGTTGAGTCGTGTAGAGTACCTTCTTCGTTACCAACTAACATGGAGGGTATCGCAGCTTCTTTTCCCTTCAGGTTTGAAGGGATTCAGGGGGTTGATGTATCCGTCCCTATGGTATTATCATGCCGGTTACCTTTGAGGTCGGGCACGTCCCCAATATCATCGTTAATGGGGAGATCGGCCCAAGAGGGCATTTCATTTAACCTGTCACTATCTAACTCATCGTGACGTCGGTACTGGTACCTAAGGCTGTCTGATAGGCCCATCTGAGTGTCCCTAGCAGGGAGGGGTTCCTTCTCACTGCTTTGGACCATAGGCGGGCTGATGCTCATCGCAACTGAGCCAAGCCCATCACCATCATCAGGTGAGTCTTTTAATTTGTTCCCACCGTTATCCAAGAATGGGGTACTGGAGGCAGCACGGACACTTGGGGTCCTGCTATCAATAACAGCGCCAGCAAGATGAGACCCAGTCTGATCTGTTGGTTCACCAGAGGGAGGCTCAGCGCGAACACTATCACTCCTCTCTAACCCAGAGACGGAAATGTCATCAAGGTTCCAGGCGCTCTCGACACCCAGTTCGAGAGCGCCAGCGTCCACACTCTCTTCACTCGTTGGAAGCAAGGTCAGAGGGGACATATTGTCTGGTGCGCTAGCAGACATTTTTAACTCGAGTTCAAGGTTTCAGAGATATATCTCTATGATTTTGACGAGGTATAGAAGAGTCGAAGCGTAGAAGGGTGATCAGTCCTCTGTGCAGTGACCGTAGTAGGGAGAGGGGGGGAAGGGGCTTAGTATTCAAAGTTCAAAATATGTGATGTCTGTAAAGACGTTCACATGAGAAGTTGACTTATAAAGCGACTTAGAGTCCAGCAGGGAGAACTGTTAGAACTAAGCTTGTTGCTTTGGGGAAAGGATCAACTACCCTAACAGTAGTTCTACGCGAGTTTAAGTACTGTAGGGTATAGAAATCTATGGAACGAGATAGAAGGAAAATAAAGATGAGTAAGAAGGAAATATAACGATGAGAATATTGGTGATAGCAACCAATATTCGATGATGGTTTGTTTGCAAATGTAACAACCAGGTCCTGCGGACCTAGACCTTCGTTTTCATCGTCAGTCGGGTCTTCCGGAGGATCATCATCCGGATCACCCCCACCATCTCTGGGCGGGTTACCGCCTAGAGGATACTCGTTGTCGGAATCATTGTGCGGAAGATTTCCGGTGGGTGTGGGTGTAGGGGTAGTCGGATGTGGGCGGTTCATGAGGTGGGAGATGCTGGAGGCAGCGCCTTGCGCACTGGCGTGGTGCTGAGAGAAACTGAGGAAGGCATCAACTATGGGAGTAGAGTCCCATCGGGCAGTTACTAAACCCGCCGCATTGAGAACGGTCTGCGCCTGTGTAGGTGCCATGAAAACAGATGTAAGTATACTCAGTAAGGTGTGAGTTCAAATATACTGTTAAGAACGTGCTCAAGGGTCGGATCCGAAGGGCTTGGCTTCAGCTCGTGCGCTGCGCCCCTTACCTGAGTATGTGCCCCTAACTTCCGAGGGCTGTTGGACAATGTCCGAAGGTTGTCGGACGAGTCCGGAGTCTGATGTCCGATGCGCGGGAATTCCAGCTGACGTTCAGGAACGAGGGATAAGACTAATCCGGACGATGTCCGAACTAGAAAGGAAACAGCGGAGGACTACCAGAGGTAGAGGCGGAGGTGAGAAGTCTATAGGAGTCGATCCTAAGACTAGCGGAGGACGACGAGAGGAGAAACTCAAGTTGGACGGAGAAGGGAATGAGCAGAGTCTAAGATAATATTTGAACTGAGGAAGTACAAAGATTCTACAGGGTTTATATACTACTGAGGACTTAACGGAGAGTCAGTCTGCGCAGTCCGAAGCTATGCGAGGCTGTGGACGGAGTGTATAGAAAAGTCAAACACTAGTCTATCGGAAAATAGTAAATGAAGACGGAGATGAGAACATAGGAAAATAAAGGCGGAAATGAAACGAGGTATGGAAAATGAGTATAGTCTAACTGGAGAAGGAATGTACAAAGGGATAAGGCACAGAAGATAGACGTGGGTCGGATCTGGACGATAGATAGAAGTCGGCCGGATCCGGAAGTCCAGAAATGATGTGTGTGATAGGTCTGGGTCTGGAACGCGGGATATGACATCGTTCAACTCTCACAACGGTCTTGCCAAGCCCATTCCCAGTGTCAATGCCATCCCTAAACATCATGGCAGGCTATACTATTCTTGTAATATTGATACCGACATCATCCTACTATCTTCCTTATTGGCTACCGCATCCATCATCAAGAGTCTATGACAGACTGTCATCCTTCCTGTTCCAGTTATCATTCATGGGGCTTGACCACTTATCCTCGAATCCACCCAAGCTTGGTAAAGCTGCCCAAGAAGTCACGGCATACATCATATCACATGTCTGCTCACATTCAACCCCACACATCCACTCGCACTCACCACAAGGAAGTCCAGGTGTCAGCATAAGGTAATGATTACTCTCTCGGTTGCGCCACGTAAGTGTACCATGCATCATTTTACCTGTTATCTTTTGAATGGCTCATCCTATACAGTGTTTAATTACCTCGCCACCAGCACGAGGCACCGTCTAGCTCCTTATTTCAAGCGCTCAAATGACAACTTTTACCTTACCCTTCCTTTCATCAAGGTGCCCTGGTCATTTCCACCGTCACAATGCCACCATCAAACACACCAGGCCTTGCCGATATCGAACAGGTCTGTGCCAATCCTCTTGCTGTCACTCATGTCTTCTAACTTTTGCTTCAGGCTTTGTGAGAATTGCAGCTCAAGTTGCAAGAACTCAAGGATGTCAACAAGGAGTTGACAGAGGAGAACAAGATCCTTAGGGCAAACCAGCCAAAGCGCAAGAAGAAGGGTCAAAACATCTTCGAGGAAAGCATGGCCTTTGATGAAGAAATCTGCTTATGCGGTCACAAGTATGGTGCCTGCTATGAAATGTTTGCACCAGACAGGCAACTTCTTCAGTGTCCCAATCCTACATTCCCTCCACCTCTCAATAAACTGTCACGCTATGAAACGCTAGCCTCCACAGAGTCAGCCTTGCTTGCAGAGCTATTCGGTCTACTTCCATCGCACATCCACCCTCTTGTCGCAGATAACCACTTCTCTGATGTTGTGAGCAACATTTTTATTTTAATGACTCTTAGAGCTAATAGTACTTATGTAAGTTCGAGGATGCAATGAACAGTAGCCACACATCTGAAATCAAGAAACTCCAAAGCTGGGCTCATCTTCGGTCTCCCTGAACAGTATTTTACTGATACAACATACAATCAAGCAAGTGTCTCTGAGATCCAGCATCTCCTTGGTACCTCTACATCACAATGCATGCCCAAGCCCTTCCCACCTATCCTTTTTCCGAACCTGGTCGAAGATACATCACTGCGAACACTCTTTGGAAACTGGGAAGTATTTGCAAAGGTGTGTGTCTTAATTCAAAACTTGTTTTTATTATTTATCATGTTTTCAGATTATCCAGATACTACTGTGGGGCGAAAATGGTTTGACCGCGCTTCGAGCAGGAGGACCACCACGCAATGGTAATAAGTGGGAGGTGACATCTTTGACACCTGGTTTGTTGGCATGGGCAGGAGTTGTTGTTCGTTTTTGCACACATTGAAAGGCTCGCAGCTGATGTAATTTTGTCAGGCTATTTTTCTACTCAGTGCTGACAAGGAGTTTCACTATTCCGGCAAGGGTGAGACTACGAAGATTCAGTACAACTATATGTTCTCCTCGTATAAGAAGGTTCTCATCAAGAACTGGAATATGGAATACACACGCAACATTGTGAAGATGCTCAATAATTTCATTTTCTCTAAAGGTTTGAGAATGGCTGATTCAATGTCGGACGAAGAGGATTTCACAGCAGCAATGGATCATGCCTTAGTGGGTGTGACTGAAGGTGAGGAGAGCACTGCACAGCCTGAACCACCACGATCCATTACAGAGGACATTATGGATGAAACAGTTGCTGATGTTGAGGTTAACAGGGATGGACACAGAGCTAGTAGTCCTCTTATGGAGCCTGATGAGGATGAAGTTCATGTTGTAGTACCTACTGCTACAGTCAGAGGCTGTCGAGGGGGCAGGGCAGCCAGACGTACTGTATCTAACACGACCCGCAATACTCGCACTACTAGTACTTAGACTTGATTACCTATTATGACATTTGTACCCCAATCACTCAATGCAATGCAACTCTTTTCATGGTCTTTGATTTATTATAAATTAATAAGGCTATAGAGTGGTAGTCTAATAGAGTTGGTTTCCCTTATAATAAAGCCCTAGTAGTCTAACGGTTTTGCTTACTGACTGTATATAATGTTACTGTAAGAAATAGTGTAGTCATTAGTTTGAACCAGCCTAAGTGTAATAAAATAGTGTATTAATAATATAGTAGATGATTAAGATAGTAGATAACTTATGGTAGATTTAATAATGCAATAGACTACAGTAGCTGATTAGATAGTAGATAGATAACTTAAAGATAGATGGTAGATAGGTATATAATAATAGACAGTTGATGATAATAACAATAGATAATAATAGACTAATAGGATAATCACACCAGCCTAAGGTACCATCATAATCAGATAGATGTCATTCCCATGGACTATACATTTATTTTAATACCATTGTAATAATATTGATATTAAGTTTACAATGGTCATGACAATGGGCATTGGCAGTAATTGGTGTCACGTTGCCATGGCATTACCACCGGCACCTGTCAGCATTTCAAAATGGGGCTTACATTGCATTCCCATTGCCACGAGTGTGTTGTCATTGTGGCATTAGAATGCATTAAAATCAAACCCAGAAATTTCCAACATTGCCCACTGTCTGCAGTTCATAAGTGTGTTGATCTTCATTCAAGCAACAACCATGCTGATCCAAGTCTTTGCTCACCATTTGCAGTTGGTGAGTGTGTCAATCTTTGTTTGAGCAATGGCCATGCTGATCCAAGTCGTCAGCCACCATTCGCAGTTGGTGAGTGTGTCAATCTTTGTTTGAGCAATGGCCATGCTGATCCAAGTCGTCAGCCACCATTCGCAGTTGGTGAGTGTGTCAATCTTCGTTCGAGCAATGGCCATGCTGATCCAAGTCGTCGGCCACTGTTCGCAGTTCGCAAGTCTGTCAATCCTCATCCTAGCTTGAGCCACACTGATTCAAGTTGCTGCCTGCCATTCACAGGAGGTGAGTGTCTCATTTTTACAATTGCTAACTTCATATATATATGTATTACCCATGGGTAAACCCTGCATGGGTACAGGTAAGGGTACGAGCTTGCCATACCCCCCAAAAACCTGTATCCTTTGTGGGGGTGCAGGTGCAGGTAAGGTCTCTGACACCCCGGGGTTTACCCATGTGGATCCCTCAGTGCAACCTAAACAGATGTCGAAAGGTTAGATTTCCAAGGCTGGTTTTGCATGTGGTGGAATAGCAAGTATTTGAAGGGAATAAACGGGGGTCAGTTAACAAAGTTGGAATTCAAACCAAGTGAACAAAATTTGTGACATGTTTTATTTTTGTCTGATTATAAGCTAGGTACATTTAGAGTCGTATCATGCTGTCTCCCCAGACTTTCTGTTAGGGTCTGGCCATTTCTGCAGTGAATATTGGTCTCAACATTAACTTATGCAAAATTTCAAGCCCTGCATGATTTTGCTGAGCTGCTGCCATTCTGCTGCTAGTTGAAATGCCATCCTGGCACACCAGCCTGTTGAAAAACCAGACTTTCTGGGTCCAGTTGCTTCCAAATATGGCCAAAAAACCAGACTTGACTGGACTTTAAAACACTCCATATAACTAACTATTAGACTTCACCAAATGGCAACCCCTATAGGGTTGAATGCTTTTGTGTCACAAGTGAAGCAGCATAGGCATAGCATAGACTCATGACTTGTGTGTTGGACTTAGTGTTGACAAGCTTGACTTGGAAGGAGTCAAAAGAGTGGCTTAAACCTTGAAATGTCGATGGTACATACAGTAGTTATTTTTACATTTATGCTATGCATTTGCAACCAATTCACTGTGCATCAAGCTACCAAAAATCCTATAATCATTGTGGCTGTTTGGTTTCCTTCATATTATTGCATCATGTGGCATCTTGATAGATGTTAACTTTTAAGTAGACTTAGAATTAATCAGAAAGAACTGTTAGAACTAAGCTTGTTACTTGGGGGAAAGAATTAACTGCCCTACCAATAGATATACACAAATTTATATACTGTATGATATGAAAATTTATAGAAACAAAAGGAGGAAATAGAAATGAGTAAGGAGGAAATGTAGCAATGAGAATATTGATTGCTACTACCAATATTCAATGATAGCTTTTGATAAGTGTTGCAGCTGACCAGGGTAGTGTTATTTTATCATCACTGTAAGCCCTGCAATTAAAGTGCCATCACAGTCTACATAAGGAGTATCACTAAAGTAAAACATGTCAATAGAAACTTACAGCACTAGGAGGAAGATTGAGAAAGGAGACTTACTCATTCATTAGCCAATCATCCAATGGGCATTCAAATCCAATTATGCTCTTCATTGGTTCAATAGCTCTGTAATGGTGCAATGATCTGTGTATTAGCCAGAGCAATGAAGTAAATGAGTAGATTTCAGTATGCCTTGGTTTTGATGAGTGGGAATAATAAACATACCCCTCAGGTACCATTGGTTCATGTGAATATGTTAAATCTAAAAGTAGGGGTCTCTGGGTTGCACAGCTTAAGCAATGAGGCCTGCTGTGAGCCTGAATTGCAAGTTTGGTGTTTGGATACACTGGCACACTAGGTTCCGAAAGACCATACTGAACACACCACCTTCCTTTTGACCCCATATAAAAGCGCAACACCCATATACGTCCTTCAGGGAATTGGGTGTTTACATCAGTGAGGAACAAGTCAAAATGACAGACCACACACCCTGGGCAACAAATTCTACTGCCAATTTCTGTCTAATGCGCAGGCGTTTCTGGAACATCCTGAAGACAAAACGAGCAAAGAAATAGTTTTCGCCCATGCCATCCCCTTCATGGACTTGAAGATCATCGGGCGGACGATTCACCTCGTTGGATCCATGCCGTGACACATCAATCTCATCTCGCGGACAACTCAACATGCGTCTCAAAGACCCATCCTCGGCTGATAGCACATGGTGAGTCAAATAACACGCTCTCAGGACATCGTGTACCATGCACTTACGATCAACATTGTCCCCCAATTTCAGCTGCATAAACAAATCGTGGTCATTGACTGTCATGCACGCAAGACGCAAGTCGGAAGAGCAAGCAGGCGAGAATTTGTCAATAAATTTAGTAAACTCCCAAAGGGCTTCTCGCCGGTTGTTTACAATCGTCCAATACAGCGCCGTGTGATCTTCGATATTGGGTTTTTGGATGAGGTTGGAGAACTCTGCTGCTTGGAGAGCGGCAGCGCAGGAGGTGATAATTGGCGCGACAGAGGAAAGGGTGTAATCAGGAGAGGAGACAATTTCACGGATGCGAGATAGAACTGAGGCACGCTTGGATTGTGGGAAGGAAAATACCGAACGTTTGCATCGGACGGAATCCACTGATACAGATGTAGAAATTGGATCATAGGGGGGAGGCTTGTCGGAGACGCTAGACGCCCTGTCATCGAAGGCTTTGGTGGCCATCACACGTAGAGGAGTAAAAAGGAAACAGAGTTGAATAGGGGCGTGCCACATCATCTATGGTAAGATGTTGTGCACGTGGGCAGAATTCAAATGTTGGATCACTATATGGCCAGCTTCTTCGAAGTTCTACTGAATAAACCTTAGTTCTGTTCGAACCGATTCTTGGAAAACACAAAAAGCGCACTTTGGCTTTCACGGAGATTACCCCCTGACAGCATTGCATGTACTCAGCAGCGGGCGATATGCTCCTATATACAACACTATAGATACCACGCTCTACGATCCATATACCTCAGATGGGAATTCGACCAAGGCTACAGAATGGATTGCGAATAATATTGATACTGCAAGAAGAGATCAGCTTGAAGTGCGCAATTGCCTTAGTCTCTACTCACGGAGTCGTAAAGACGCGTCCAGTTGGAGCCTAAGGAGGTATCAATGAGACGGTCGATATATTCACCCACAAGGGAATGAGTCAAAGCGGGTTGAAAGCGATCACGCAGCTGAGCCGCAGTCTGTTCGCCGAACGCAGCAAAGCACGGCAGCTTGGAGTCTAACACAGGTCATTGACATGAACTGATTCCGCCGACTGCGGATCTCTCACCTTTTTGCATCAATTCCACCAGAACTGCGGATGACTGATGTCAACGTCATGAACAGGACGGATCAAACATAAATACTGACTTATGATTCGATCGCAGTGTTTTCTCGCTGCCTCGAACCCTTCACGAAACAGACGCTTAAACTCCAAAAAAGACTCTCCATCCACACCCCCCAGCACTTCGACATATTCCGGTGGTAACTTGAATGGTGCAGCCTCAAAACCTATGTTACCCGGAGAATTGGACAACATGAACCCAAAATCTATATGAATAAGGTGCCCCTCTCGGTCCAGCAATATGTTCCCATTATGCCGATCCTTTATTTGCAACAGGTACGTTACAATGGAATAACCTACGAAATGGGTAGAGTATTTAATACAGGAATCAAGGTATTGAGAGCGGGACAGACCTGCGAGTGACTTCGCAAAGTTGTGTTGCGCTCGGACAAACTTGGCCGTAGATGGATCACCGTAAGTCTTGACATGTAATTCAGCACGACATCGCTTGCGCAAAACGATGGAACGAGGAACCAACCGATTTGAAGTGATCTAGGAGAGTGACATATCCAAAACGGCCCTCCGCCAACCGTCTTGCGTATTCGGACTTCTTGATGGAGTGTATTGACACGGCATCTGTTATGGTCTCTACCAAGCCCGACGATGCGCCAGTGATTAGAATCTGGAAGCTGGAAGTAGTTAAGCTCACGCCACTAACGTAACTTGTTGAAGCAAACTCACTAGCGGACCCAGCATTGACAGTCCTCTTCTTGCCAAATTTGCTCAAACTGCTGTATAAGCTGAACGGCGACCTGTTCTTGGCGAAGGTCGCCGCCAGTTTTGACAATCACAGAGACACAATCCCAGTTCGCTGGCGATGGTGAGTTCAACTGAATGCAATTGTTTCCATAGTAAGGCCATAGCCTTACCTAGATGACCATACGGTGATCCGTGCTGTATTCGACTCTGAAATGGCAGAAATGACAGTCATACAATAGCAAAATTAGTCAAACCCACCTTCTTTGTCGCCCAAGATTCGCTGAATATTAAGGCGGAAGGATCGGCCTTGTTCAGCTCACGTTTGATGATTGTTTCGTCCTCTGCAGTCTTCAGGTTATCGCCCACATCACCAATGCGCATTATCCTTTCTCCTTCCCTGTGTTCTCGCATACGCTCCATTCGCTCTTCCTCAAGCGCAATCATCTCCTTCATGATACGGTCTCTGATAGCGGCTGCCTCTGCATGCTGCACACGCATTCGTGTGGTCGCTGGTGAATCGCCAACCCTTCCAGCGAGCGAGGGATGTAGTGGCCCGCTGTTTGCCTGGTGATGCGGACTGACTAACCAGCCAGAACCAGGGAGCCAGCTCAGAGGACCAGACGGCGAACTCGAACTAACAAGTGTCGCAGTTGAATCGGAAGAAGGTAATGTGGTTACTGCTTCGCGAATAAGGTTCGCATTGAGCTGCGAAAGCATGACAGCTGCCGTACGCATGCGTTCGGAGTAATCGTCAAGAGAGAGTATACGGCTATTGCTGTTACTATTAGGTGGTGGATCTGGCAGCTGAGCGGTTGAAGGTAGTGTCGAAAACCGATCACCCGTGGGTAGAAAGGCGGGTGAAGAAGACAGCGATAATATCCCTTCTGGGTTGGGCGAAGAAGATGAGGAAGAGGTTCGAGACCACGCGACCATATCCAGTTCCTTGTTCTTCAGCACTGGTGGAAGTACAATGGACTCGGTAAGGTCTATTGGCCTGCGGAGAGACTCGCCGGCTCCATACAGTTGCTCAACGAGGTCCATCTCTTCATCATCACCGATGAGAGAACTTGTACTGCTGGTAGCAGAAGCTACAGGGACCAGCGGAGCTTCTGCCTCCTCAGCGGACTCCTTTCCCAAGGCGTTTTCGGAGCCAATAACAGGATCCCCAAGGGGCTTGTCTTTCGAAGGAAGAGGTGACCTGGTGAAAGCAATGAGTTCTCTCGAAGCACCTTTGCGTTCGTTCTCCTTTGTTACGATCCGCTTCAGCGTCTCCTTATTGCTTCTCTTTGTCGGATCAAAGTCGAGGTCATCGTGAAGTATCTCGATAATGAGCAAATAAGGTGCTCGCTCCGCAGAATTAAGCACAACGCTTTCGCCAGGAGGGATTCGAACTATCTTGTGGTGCGGTTGAGAGGCATTCCGAGATGCAGAATTATCGGATGAAGAGCACCACATAGGCATGCACACCTGAGATCCCATATCACGAACTGAGGTATGAACAAAGAGGAAGATGTTACCTCTGCAGGAAGCTTGTGGTTGAGAGCAGTTAATTCAGCTCTAAGGGCGCTTACTCGCGCAGGTTTTGGCACGACGAGTAGGCGGTTAGAGATATGTTCGAGCGTTATTAAGAATTGGATCTGTCACGCTTATGTAAAGCCAAAGTGATAATGTCAGCGGAAATTGCTTACTTCTGAACGGTAATAGTGACTTTTAAGGAGATGCGCTTGTGAATCCAAATCATACCGTTGAAGGAGGGAATCGCCAAAGTTCAGTGTATTCTGCCGAAAAGGATGCTGGGTAGTTGGTATCGAAGGAGATGATTGGTATGGGCTGGCAACGCGTGTTGGTTGTGAGGGATCAAGCTGATCGAGTGGATCCTCGGATAATGTTGACCGATGCATGTTTTGCAAATGAACCAGAGCGGGACTTGTCTGCGCGGCAACAACCGTGCGACGACGTTTGAGAATCTTTTTGGAGACCGCAGGACCATGGGAAGCACAACTATCATTAGAAGAGTGTTCATGAGAACTAGCCGTACGGTCATCTTCATTTTTTCCATCTGAACCACCGTCATCATCATCCCCAGAGTCATCACGGGTGGTCTTCCCTGATCCCGAAGCAACGTCATTGTCATCGGTCTGGACGCTTTTCAGGTCTGATCCGTCCTCGTCGGCACGGCCCTGCTGCAACGCAACCTCACCCATGACCTCAGTAAGCTCAGGCACGGCAGGAGTTCCAGCTAACATCAGACCAAGTCCAATGAGTACCGGTTCGACATGGGTTTTAACCTTCCGACGTGAGAAGCGCGCCTGGAACGGCATGTCCAAGCCAGAGTACGGACCAGAGACTGGAGTTGGAAGATCACCAAAGATGATGTCATGACATCTTTGTAACGTCCGCTGGCATACCTGAAAAGACGGAGAACTACGTGATGAGGACAGATCTTGCAAAGAGGCTTGCATAATCCAAAGGGTCTCCACAGGAATCAGCTGTGAGCTTGAAGCTACAGGGCTGTTGCCTACGTACAATCATGGCTATATGCGTGGACCGTTGTGAGATGTCTACTACAAAGCATTCCAGTGCCCGTGATTTGGAAGGCCGGGTGACGAGCAAATGACTGACGAGACTATTAGTATAATTCTATGACACGATGAACACTGGTAGATACCATATGAAACCCCATACTTCGCGTAATTCCTGCGTGTCGAGTTCTTTCAACCTTCGGGTAAGGTAGTATGTGATGCCTATATTGTCGGCATACAGCATCAAATACTGTAAGGCCACATGAACAGAGAAGAAGGACGGAGATAAAAACAGTCGTAGGAGAAGGGCATGGGACATGTCTGACAGGGCTGGTCGCCGTCTAGGACGGTGAGCAGTGCCAGTCTGCCAGAGAGCCTGATCCTAAGCTGCCTAGTTCCCACGGCTGCTATATGAATCTTTGTTACACGTTGACAACTTTGGTCACTCTTGACTAACGCTTTACTTTCAATATGCTCTGGCCACTGCTCGCTCTCTCACTTTTTCCCTTATCATTAGCGGCACAGAAATCGGTGCACGAGCAGCTGGTCGACCTTGCAGCAGCTGGAAATGGACTCATACAGCTCAATGACCAGACTTATGATTTACTTGCCTCCCCGAAGCGCGACTGGTCGGCTGCTGTGCACTTCACTGCGCTCCATCCCCAGCGGCGCTGTGCTCCTTGCAAGTCAGTCACAAGGTTCTAAACATGCATCGGAAGCTAATTGCGACCTTCACAGAGAATTTGAGCCAGCATTCACTGCTGTAGCTAAAGCATGGGCGAATGCTCCGAAAGAACAGCGGGACAAGCACTTCTTCGCTACTCTTGACTTTGATGATGGGCCCGCCGTCTTCCAAAAGGTAATCGCACCATTATATCTTACAAAGCCACAATCAAAAATTGACGCGCTCATTAGCTCGGCATGTCTTCTGCGCCAGGTGTTCACGTATATCCCCCGACTGATGGACCAAACGCGTCTGCAAAGAAAGCCCCCTTCAAATACGATTTCCAAAAGTAGGAGTTTTACTAAGCCTTTGATTTAAAACCCTAAGTGTAGTCTATAGTGGTTTCGAAGCTGGACCCCTCGCTGAGCAACTCTCTGTTCACACCCCAATCCCTATCCCATATAAGGCTCCCTTTAACTGGGCGCGCGCGGGCAGCATCGTCTCACTCATCCCAATCATTACCCTTATCTTTCGCTTTATCAAACCAGCACTGCAAAACCGCTGGGTCTGGGCTGCTGGCACGATCGCTACTTCACTAGTCATGACCTCTGGCTACATGTTCACTCGCATCAGAGGGGCACCTTATACTGGCCCTAACGGCGGTTGGATCGCTCAAGGCTATCAAAATCAGTATGGACAAGAAGTTCAAGTCATCGCCGTGGTTTGTACGTCGTCTCTCGCACCTTACACACCAGGTTGGTACTGATTATTCATAGATGGAATCTTGGCTGGATCTTTCTTAATGTTAACTGTCGTCACACCGCGCCAACTGTCGCCTACCCGTCAAAGAACTCAGGTATATCTCTGGACTGCAGTAAACTTCCTCGTGTTCAGCATTTTAGTATCACTTTTCCGTGTTAAAAACCCAGGTTGGTCTATGTCGAGTATTCACACGCAGCGCTGACATTTCTGTTAGGCTATCCATTCAAGCTCATTCTATAGAATCATGTAGTCCACTTCGCAAATTAATGGCAGCCACACATGCACTTGAATTATAAAAAGCAAATAAACATGTACATGCATGAGGTGTGATGAACGACGAAAGCCAAAAGATATCCAGAATAAATCGATGCAATGATCTCTATGATAAGGATCTGTATAAGTGATCTACGAAGCATTCTCTTGCTGTTGGAAAACATCAACATAGCGGGTTCGTACATTGCGTTTGGTGGCTTGCGAGCGTGGGCGACTTGGTGTCATGGGAGTTGATGGCGGCGCTGGTGTATTTGGGAGAGATGTTGCTTCAGCGGGAGCAAGATTCGAACGCACTCGCATGGGCGGCTTAGCAGTGGGAGATGTGCTCAAATCAGTAACCGAAGCAGATCGGGCTGGCGGAGGTGCTGAACTTGCACCATTGGCATGAGGAAGTGGAGCACTTGCCCGCGCTGGCGAGGCTGTCTGTGCTCTTGAAGGAGGTGGGGGTGGTGCAGCTGGCTGCGTGGTGTCAGTACCAGCCTGACAAGTCTTTGAGTGACATCACACATCCTGATAGCATTGGTCACATACCTTCTTGTTTACCCAACGCTTGAGGTCTTTATCGTAATAGAAAGCCGATTGATCTCCAAGACTAGCCTTGATAGGACCAGGGGCTGTTTCGGAACGCTTCCAGAATCGACCCAACCAAGAGCTTGGTGCCGCCGAAGCCGTCGCTGGCGGATTGGCGTCTAGCGACAACAGTTATTGATGGATGTTGTGACGAAGAGGCAACCACAACTGACCTTTCTTTTCCTCTATTTTCTTGACGTCCTGTACAGGCGTGGCAGATGTCTCACTACTCCCAGATTCAGCTGGACGTTCACGTTTGTTTGCGTTATTGCCAAAGCCCAAATCCTCGTCCTCATCCTCGAAGCTTGGTTGCAGCCGGCGAGTCGGCATGGATGGGCTGGGAGCCACAGCCAACGCGGGGTCGTCCATTAAGGAGATGAAACCATCAGATGAAGCCTGGAAATGGTCGACTGAGTGAAAAGTGGCCGTGGTCGGTGTGGGGCCAGAGTCCGAATTGTTGAGCGAAGACCACCATCCTGTCTCTTGCTGTTGTTGCTCAGAGCCCTCCTCGGCAGTCATCTCTAACGAGGGCTTTCGTGATAACGGTTCGGTACCATAGGCAGGGGCGTAGCCATTTGTTGTTGAATGCCCATTCATTCCCGAACCATGTGCGGAGTACGGGTAAGCTGGTCGTGGTGGGTGCAAAGGCGCAGTCAAGGGAGGTGGTGGCGACGGCTGCCGTGTTGAGTGATAATAGTCCATGGCAGATGAGGCACGATCAATAGGCACGTGGGAGTGAGAAGTTGAGACTGCCATCGCGGAACCGCTTCTGCGAGGAGGCGGTATACCTGACATGGAATGCGGATTCATCACCCCAGGGGGAGGCGATGGACTTGCGGAGGTTGTGGTTGATGAAATCTCGCTGAAGTGAGAGAAAGGTCCTAGGGATGACACTTGACTCTTTGACGGTACCGGCGGAGGCGAAGGCTCGTCCCCTTCTCCAGCGATGAACTTCGTCAAGCGTCCCTCAAGCCAACTGCCGATACTGTCAAGACTAGGTTTGTTCACCTTCCCACCTATCCAAGATCCGCTCTTTGCCATCTGTGGAGTACCGATCAAGCGATTCGCTAACCCTTTCAATTGCTCGATAAGGACGGAATTGAGATAGTGTGATGGATGTGTCATTCCAGCGGTGATTGCCTCGCAATATCTGTAGTCCGATTAATAAGGCGCAGAATTGCACTAGAAGATAGACCCACCTGCTAGCTGCCTGTATCTCGCCAATCTCCGCGAGATACGAAGCCCTGATAAGCTTGTATGCCTGTAAATGCGGCAGCCCGTGGAATGGTTCTTGTCCTTTTGTAACGCTCTTCAGCGAGAAGGCAAACTCGGCAATTTCGGACAGAATGATGGGGTCAGTGTCTTTATAGAAAGAGGGCCATGCGTGTGGATTCCGCGAGCCGATAAGAACAATTCGACCCGATGGACTCCCAATTCCACCTATCGGAGAAGTCTGAGGAGAGAGCAAGTAACTGACGGATGATCTTAGCGCAGGAAAACAAGTGCGAGAATTATACAATTACCATACATGCGCAGCTTCGACCTGTTGATGTGATACAAGGTAGTCGCCCAGTGCTGTCAGGGCTGCGGACCACTCAGGGGACACAGGACTGGACACCATCGATGCCACAAGTTCTGGCCACTTCGATAAAGCATTGGCAGGGATTTGTGCTGCCATTGCTGGTGAAGGAAAACTAGGCGACATTGGCGTGGTGTGCACAACAGCCGGTGTAGGGACTTGCAATGTAGTCGTCCTTGCGAGCAGATTGGTGGGAATCAGTTCCTGGACTGTTTGTCAAGTAGCTTCATATCAGAAAATTCAGCTCAGAAAATTATCACTGACCAGCAGTTGGTCCCTGACCAGAGAATAAACTGTAGACCACACGAAGCCACTCTCGTCCGTTACTGGAAGGAGGTACATGTTCCTTTCCTCGTCCAGCAAAAGCCGTCCGCTGTGCATCGTGAATGCCTAACTCTCCTTTCAGGAACTCGTTGACAACATCCTTCCAAGCCTCCTTGTCGATGCTGCTTGCAATGACCATCGCGTGTGCCCACAGTTTCTCATCCAGCGCATAGTGATAAGCTTGTCTCCTTTCGCCTCTCACAAGGAATTCTTGTATCTTGTCTAACGCGGATGGAAGGAGCGTGGAGACTGATATGGGTGTCTCACTCGTGCTAGGGTGACCACCGTTAAGGCCAGGAATTGTACCAAGGGCATTGGGTATACAAGAAGCAAAACCCGGTGTCGAAATGTCAGCACCCTCAGACGCAGCAATGCGAGGAAGCAGTGCCGTTCTCACAGCTGAATCAATGTGAGCGCTGGAATGGAATGAGTTAAGGATACCTATTTATGGTCTGGCGACAGACCTTCCCGACAGTACACCATCGTTCTCAACCATGATCTTGAGCAACTTGACTAGAATCAATTTCCCTTCAGTATGCTGCTTCTCGGTTCCATCTGACATATACGTCGTCGCACGTGTAAGTTCTTCAATCCGATCCTCCAGATACTTGACGACGCGCGCTTTCTTCGTTTTCACTTGAGATGACGCCCCAGTGCGCACGATACTGACTGGTGTACCAGGGTCAGAAAACAAAGGACCAGGATAAGCAGCGGCAGAAGGTTCAAGCGCAAATTCAGGGAGAAGTCTGTGCAACACGCGTACACGCACATCCGTCGAGTGACGAGACGACAGCGCAACATCATATCCAGTGATAAGGTCAGGGGAGCTGTGGAAGCATGTAACCATCTTGCCACCAAAACCGAAACTGATCACTGGGGCTCGCGAAGATGTACGACCCAAAGGATCGTTTGAGCCTAAGAGAGATGGGGAGGGTGCATATGGAGGGCGAACCGTGGATGAAATAAGAAGCTCCTGACTGTACGCAGACACCGCACCGTACGAGCTTGGTTCACCGGGACGAGGCTTGGGAACCAGCCCATTAACTTCGCGCTGATGAGGTATTCCCATGGGCATGGATGCCGTGGAATGCAAAGATCCATTGGAACCTGAATGATCACGATATTCGGGCTGCGCCAGAGCCACAACATTCTTGGCAAGTGCATATGGATCAGGGGCTGGAGAGGCCTGACGCGAATTATGGAAGGGGGATGAAGTCCTCTCATACGTAGCATGCGATCTGGGCTCGTAATTGTTCGCCGTAATTGGAACTGTCGAGTTGGAGACACTCTTAACAGATCCTGCATGGCTTGTGAACGAGCGAACAGAACTAGGAGATGTTGCTCTGTTGGGCGAAGCATAGTGTGACAGCTCATGTGTAGAGGGCGGATGGGGAGGACCAGGATACACATCCTGTTCACCGGAATGGAAAGCGTTGCGCAAAGGAGAGGAAACCCTCTTTACCGGACTACGCAGGGATGACACATTTGAACCGTTGGATCCATCTCTGGAATGAGAAGGGGACCGCCGTAGCACTGAGCCTCGCATCATCATCGTGTCTTGGTGTTGATGCACCTTGCCTCTAGGCGGGGAAGAAGGTGGGCTGTTATGTAGCTGTGTGGAACTATTCAAACTAGCGTACTCTGCAGGAAGTGGAAGCGTGTAGGGATCTCGAACGGCATGCAAAGAAGGGGATGTTGCCTCGGTATCCGTCTGCAAACTTTCCGGATCGTCCCAAGGCATATCATCAGACGTGTAGGCGCGACTTTCTGAGTGCAAGTCATGACTTGGTAGCGGATATGTCTCGGTGGCAGGAGAGATAACACGTCGGGTAAATGAGCTGGATAAACCCTGTTTAGGAGTAGGTGCTTCGTCAAGTAATTCCTGCTCATAAGAGTTTGGTGGGGGTGTCGGGGGATTCGCATGTAGAGGAGGGGCAGCCAATGGGGATGTACGAGTGCCCGCTTGTGATAAACTATGTTGCGTGTAATGATTGCCAGCAGTCGGTTGTGGAAGCTGCTGTAGAAGCTTGGGTGGCGAGGTAACACCCAAAGCGCCTGTAAGCTGACGTGTCACTTGCGCTCGTGGAGGTGGATGGGAAATTGGAGGTTGTGCCACGTTACCGGAAAGGCTGCCGTACCGAGTACTATTAGAGGGGGGAGGAGGAGTAGGGGGTACAGCGGGCACAGCAGGTACAGGAGGAATTTGCGAGGGCTGGCCATACGAGGCATACTGTCCAAATGATGGTGCGCGTGCGCTCACGGCACGCTTTGGTACCTTCGGAGGAGGAAGAGGGGGGTCATACGCATTCGACTTCTGTGGACGATAAGATGCAGCCGACATCGCAGGAGGAACTTGAGCAGGAGGAGGAGGGATGCTGGGAGAAGCTGGCTTAGGAGGTGCAGCGTACGCAGACGACGAATAAGGTTGAGAAACCGAGCGTGTCATAGGGTTATACGACTCGTATGTTGTCTGAGATTCAGCAGGTGCAGCAAGTGGTTGTGACGCGCGAGTGGGTGCGATGTTAACGGTGGGTTTGTAATGATCGTAGCTGCCGTGTACCGGCACATATGGTTGGCTTGGATATTGACTACCGCCGTATTGCGAGGAATTGGCAGTTGGGTCTGGTGTGTACTGGTGATAAACACTCGCTGTACCGCTAACATTATGACCTCCTTGCACTGCAGAGAATTAACACTGCAGATACAGCAAATTTACACAGCCGACACACCTGGTTGTTGGACATACGAGACCTGCGGTTGAGTCGTGGAGTAACCAGGCGCAGAGGACCACTCTTGAGACTGTTCGTAACCGGTAGCAGAGTATTGCGAGCTGTCAGGAACCTGGTTCACAAGAACACTGGCATCGTGGTCCACAGCAACTGACCAGGGATCTTGTTCAAAGGGTTGAGTGCCCTTGGGAATGTCTTCAGCAAACAAGCTGGAAGCGTCCTGGCCCATGTCAGATGGATAAGAAGCAGACTCGTGCTGTCCATATTCATGTACCGCCAACCCGGCAGGTGGTGTCGTGTCAGTCTCCTCGTTGCCAATAACCGAAAACGGATCCGGCCCAGCATCGCCATCTGAACCAAATAACGAAGCCGCAGCTTCCACAGTACTCATGTTTGCAACGTTTCTGTCAAGCAGGCCAGTAGAATTCGTTGTCTTGAGAAAAGCAGGATGCTGACGTTTCGTTGAAAGCTTTTGCGCTTGGCCGAGTGACGGTAGTGCCTACTTTAGCACTAAACTAATAATACCTTTGTTTGTCACCGTTTACTTCTTTCCGCGGGATCATTAGTTCATCCGAGTAACATGCATGCGGTGCAAGACAAGATCCATGATGATTATAACTGGTGTGCTCAGGTATCTATACGATCGATATGTACCACGGATGGGAAAAAATGACGACAAAGATGATAGCAAAATGAAAGTTTGAATATCGACAGCGAAGAAGCAGGGAATGCAAATATCATACTGAATGAGTGTAAAGAGTGTGCAATTAATAATGTTGATTGCGTGGATAATCGTGGTGTGAGTGATTGCGGAATGAGGAAAAATTGATGCGAATATACCATAGCATTGCGAGTGGAGCAAAGAGGAAATAGGGAGTGAAGCAAGAAAAAATGGTCATAGAACACGCTATTAGTTAACTGGCTTGTGCAATAGTGAGGGGTAGTCCGCAGGTTTATCCGAGGCCTTTGAGGCATTAATCGTGCGCTCTAGAAGACGTTCAACTATTGGGTGTTGGTCAGATAATATTTCATTTATCTCGGTTGTATTTCATCAACATACTAGAAATAAGATGCTTGCTGTAAGCGCTCGAGTATCTGCGCATGCTGACGAGCTGAGGACGGATCTTAGCAATCAGAATCTCCTTCTGATCGGGTTCTGCCACGGTGAGTGCCCGCTGAAGGACGTAGTCTACATGAGCGGTCAGTAATCAGAACTTTAATGTAAGAACATAGCAACGCACTGGCAAATTGATCCTTCATCATGGACACAATTGGGCTGACACCATCGGTCTTCGGCATGATGATCTCATCGATAAGGATACGACGCTCCTCAATACCAGCGGTAACGAGAGCCTTCTCACAGACGTTTGATGCGAACTTGTGACGAGCCATATTCAGCATTTGACCACGAAGTTTGGTGATGACTTGATTCCGATCTTGAGGCTTGCCCTGTTCGAGCACAAACTGGACAACGTAGTTCTTCGTAACTCATTAGCAACAGGCAAGAGTCTAACAGTGGTGAGTACACACCCCAAATTGATCCTGCATCAGATTGATCATATACTTGTGCAGTTCATCCATAAGAGGACGGGTTGTCTCTTCAGGCAGGTGCTCAAAGCACCGCTGCAATACACGACACCCATATGGATGCGTGGAGAGGTCATACACGTTACCCCTGAATGAATTGACGAAGCCCAGTCGCTCATGCGACACGCGTTCGATCAACTTTTGGATGACCTACGAATACATTAGCCTAAAGCATTTAAAGTGTAAGGAGCACACTGACGTGATTGCCGTTCGCATCCTTTACGCATTTAAGTACATGCGGATCAAGTTCCCTGACGAATGACGCTTGCTGATCTGGAAGGACAAATTCTACCGCCTAGCAAATTTGAATTAGACACGGCGAGGGGCTGCGAACGTGTATGCAGACCTTCTGCACAACACGGCAGCCATACATCTGTAATGACAGTGGTAGAATATGACCCTCCATCGCGTTGGCAAGAACAGTCTTTTGAACTTGCGTTCCGTGCTCAAACAGCTTTTGGATGACCTATGGAAACTGTCAGATGTGATAGCAGGTAAAACATCACGCTGTAAACATACATAGTTACCAAATACATCCTGAATGAGTTGCAAGGCATTGTCAGGGACGATCTCATCAAAGACACCTTGTTTCTCCTCCGAGGTAGCTGTCTCAAGTTTCTGTTGAATGAAGCGAGACCCGTGTTGATCACCGCTAAACTCGACAATATAGCCATAGATATCCTGAGAGTTGATCAGTTTGCTATCTGTCGCAATTAAATTGAACACACCCTAAGCTCCCACTTGCGCGCTTTGTTCGCTCTGAACTCGTCCAATAAAGGACTGCGCAAAGCTGAGCCAGCATCATTCGCATCTTGACGCCGCCCAGGGCGTAAGTTTTGGTGATAAAATGGTATTCCATGAGCGGTATGACCATACATAGCGCCGTTGGGAATCATGAAGGGGAGCTGGGCACCATAATCAGCAGCATAACCCTGGTGGGGAGTGTATGAGATCATGGTGGGGCGCAAAGTGTTTTGAAGAGCCACCTGTTGTTGCAGTCCATACTAGGGTTGAAGGATCAGGGCCGCCCTAGATACAATCTAACGTAAATAAAAAACCTACCTGTTTCTTGTCGGGCATACTACCAGCGGGCGCCGCAGCGCTGAGCTGAGGAGTTGGCATCGGAGAGAGTGGAGGCATAGTTGGATACATTATTGGCTGATGCGCGGGGTAATAATATTGCGAGGGCGTTCGCGCGGAGGCTGAATAGTCGTAGTATATACTAGACTGTTGGCCAGTGGGAGCATTATGGTGTAACGGCTGTGGTGATACGCCAGGGTATAGGCTTGCCGCGGGAGTGTTATTCATCCCAGCAGATGAAGGGTAGAGTGATGGGTCCGTCGGGGTACTGTATCCATATCCATAATCCATGTAGGGGTCGCGTGTTGTGCCATTGGTATAATACGACGAATAATCTGCCTGAGGGTAACTACCATACGGGGGTCGTCCTTGAACCATCTGCGGGGGTGGTCGCACCTGAAGGACACCAGGGGAATGAGAAGCAACAGCACCGGACGGTGAAGAGGCGGATTGGTGGCGGTATTGGCCGCTGGCATGATCGTCCTCGACTGCCATCCCTCTCAGACTCATAGACAATTCGTTTTCAACAACTGAGGACACCTGCAAGGAGTCAAAGCCACCATTTTGACCACCGAAGGCAGACGATCCATAGCCCGATGCATTTGAAGAAGCCGCATATCTGTTGGAGACTCCGGTTTCCTTTCCGAGAGTATTGTCGAACCTCTGCGGAGAGAACTGACCGGCCTTTGCCGAGGAGCGATCGTCCTTGAAAGATCTTTTAGCATGCCTTTGAGATTCATTAGGAACACATACAACTCTTGGGCCTGACAACGCGGCTGCTTGCGCTGCGGTTGCTTGCCTTTGCCGAGCATGATGCAGGGACAAGGGGGAATTGGTGTCCTATCAAACGTTGAACACTAAACAAACGCCGTGAAAGAATTGACTGACCAACTGCGAGAACTCCTTCTTTTGAGGGCTTCCACTCAGCTCATCCCAGGTTCCGCTAGACGGCCTTGGCGCACTCCAGCTTTCTCCCAGATTTCCTCGGTAACCGCTCTCAGCCTGGGATGGTGAGAGGTCGGTCACACTTGCAGCGGAGGATATCGAGGCATTCCTCTTTGACGCCGGTGTCGTTGATCCCCATACCTAGATAGTATCACGTAAGCAAAAGGGTCAGCTTCGTAGAATGTTCCGCCCACCTGCCAACCTGAGTTGAGACCCTTGAGTCCGGATGCCCCGGCTATTGCGACGCCAAACATGTTCGCTGTTGTGGGAGTCAGGTTCCTCTGTGACTGTGCCTGGGTAAGAATCAATCAGGTCAGAAAGCTATAAGCATACGTTATTCGGCGAAGCTGAAGGAGAGTGCCCAGACGAGCGCGTCGATGAGCCTGATGGCTTCCGAGAAGTATCTCCATGATGAGTTGACATGGCAGGCTGTAGGAGGAAAGTGATTTGCGCACTAGGTCCGGTAAGTTAAAGGGATGATGGTAGAAAACCGAGGTGGTAACTCACAGAAGAAGCAAAAAACAGCGAAGAGCAGATTATAGAGTTTTAAGTGGAAGTGTGCAAACGAATTAGCTGAAAAAGGCGAGGGTAAGAGTTAGTTATGCAATGAAACACGTTTCGACCCAGTTACAAGTGAAAAACCGGAACGGAGAACGGGAGAAACGCGCCTGTATAGTGCAGAATAGTTGTCGTAAATAAGCCACGATGTGAGGTATTTGAACATGACGCGTGAATGGATGAAGGAGTGCGAATCCAAGACTTACCAAAGGATATACGACAGTGACTTGAAGAAACTGCCAGTAATAAACTAGTAGATGAAGAAGAAAAGAGGAAGGACAGGTCCCCCGTTGAAGTGAGGCGCGCGTAAGACGAAAAACAGAACGATCGGGTGCGCTCAGGGATAGATTATTTCTACCACGACTAATACTGAAGGGGTATGTATTGAGTCGGCTGGTGATTTTTGGTTCCGTTACTTACACGGCTAAATGGATCCGCTCGGCAAGTATACGCACAGCTGTAAGCTGCCACCTTGTTTGACCAAAAATCTAGGGTAAATTAGCGGGTTCACGACCGAAAGTTATAATATTTAAGAATGGACCCTCATAATGGAACATTTACACACAGCCATCACAGGTCCCCGCTCATTCGCCTATTCCCGATGAAATTTTTTTGAGTAGAACTCAACGGCACCGGTCCCATTTTCTGATCCTTCTTGGCTTCCTTTTGTCAATCATATCCCTGCTTCTTGCGAAAGAAGCGCCAGAATACTTCCAGATTCCGCTTACTCAACTTGCCCGGAATACTGAACTACCTACTGTCAATCGGTTCCGTGACAAGCGGACCGTGGTAACCGTACTAAAGTACTACTAGTAGTAGGCCCCCGGCTTAGTCTTGTTCGATTCAATCCTCAAGCGCTCTGACACACCACTGCCCCAAAACCTAGGGTCTGACGTCCAACGTACACGCCTTATCTTGGTTATTCACTTACAACTTTAGGTCAGTCCGACAGAGAATGCATTATTAAAAACGGTAAGATGATAGATGCAATGTAAAAAAAAGATACCAAACAGTCCAGGTATCAAAAGCAATCAATCCAAGGCGTCTAACTCCCCCGAGGGTTGAAGAACCATGACGCACGCTTTGCTGCAAATGATCCGTTAGCATCTTAAGTGAACAGTGACCTAATTAACCCTACTAACCTCCGCTGTCGGAACCGCGAAACCAAGGTTAGACGCCAAGTGAGCAATCTGAGGCAACCACTATAATTATCAAAACTTACCTTCCGTCTTCGTTCTGGACGCGAGTTAAAGCATTTCCTGGCGTCCCACCACCTGAAACCTGTGCAGGTGTAGTAGTAGGTCCAGGC